GAGGGGAGTGCCTGAGTCTCATGACCTTCTTGTTCAGGCTCCCTCTTTTAATGGCCCAGGTGGCCCAGCTGCTAGGAATTGGGAGTATTTCTATGAGGAATGCGTGCCTGAGTGTGATATTCATAGATTACCTGAGCACTCCAGGGAGTCTGGCATTTATGGCACCTGGACAGCCAAGGCAATCTACTGAGTAGCAGCTCAGCGTCGCGCCTGAGACGCTTGGTCTTAGGTTCTGAAGGACCCTCTTACACCTGAGGCTCGTGTTTCTCTGAAAACCCGGTGGAACACGTATGCCACCTAAACTCTATAAACACTCAACCCTCAACCCTGAACCGTGAATCCTAAACTATAAACCTCAAACCCTAAACCTTCAACCTAGGCGTATCGGCCCCGGTTGCACGCCAGCTTGTGCACGAGTTTTGTTTTGGTCCCCTTTGGACCACTCCGCCTTTGCAGCCATGGCGGAAGTACCAGCCTCTACAAAGAGCCTGGAGCAGTTCAGGAGCGGAGTTAGCCAACAGCCGGCCTACGCGGCACAGACCCAGCTGTTCTTCGAGGAGCAGAGTCGGCGCAAACGCAGCGCTCCGACTCCGGTGGCTTCGTCGTCTCGGACCACACCGCAAGAGGCTGAAGGCTCTACACCGACCACAACGCCGCAGCAGGGGGAGGCCGCCAGCTCGTCAACCAGCTTCGTGGTTACGCGGCCGCACCTCGACGACATGGTCATCGGGGAGAAAAAATCCTTCCCCTGCGGGATGGTGGTCGGCTCCACGCTGAGGACGTTGAAGCATACCTCTGCCGTCAAGGCGGTATGGTCAAAGTTGGCATCCAGAAACCTGCGGTTGATCAGGAAAGCGGCTGCCTCAGGGGAGCTGTGAAATCATCCACCCCAGCATGTAGCGGCGGCCTGCGGGGGTCATGCCTGTTGGCCATCCAGTTGTGACCAGCATCAAACCGCTCTGGTGCTTCTGCTGGGAGCGGTTGTCACTGGCCATAAACCTGAGCTCTGACTGCGCAGTAAAGATCCTGTCGTTCATGGCCTTCAAGGTGAACTCCAGCTGGACAACCGCCCCGTACAGTTCTGGACAAATAATTGCCTAGTGATAACCCTTAACCAGTCGTAGCACGTCACGGGGTACCTCGGGTACCCCGCTGTACAGTGATGCCAACACGCCACAGGCGGGGCGGCGCGTCAGAGTAAGCCCTTGTGCGCCCCAGTGGCAGCGCAAGCTGGAGAGTTAAGAGTGCTCATTGCAGTCTGCAATGCGCACGAGGACACGGCCAACAAGAAGTTAACCATACTTTGGAAGTCCCTAACGC